TGTCGAAGTGGTTGTCGACGTGCATCTGAAAGTAGTTCTTATGGCCGGGGAGTGACAGATCGAAAGGCGTCGCACACACGGGACATAAGCGCTGCGAGTGTCGCTCCTCCAAGTGCTGGACCATTGGCTTCGAGTCCCTCGACATGCATGTGATGTCTTCGTTACATATAATACACGGCAATTGTGTCAACTGAATGCTGTCCACTCGTTCCGTGATGTCAGCGATGGGTGCGGCCATTGCTGTGGCGCCCAACAACTGCTCGACTACTACTGGCGCTTCCGTATCGATCACAGTCTTCACTTCGGTCTCGGCTCTGGACATCAACTCCTGGCGCTCAGACAGCGACACATCGACCGCTGCTTTTGTCTGTGATTTTGTGTCGAAGTATTTCTATTGAATGAAATATATATTTTCAAAACATATTTCCAAATAATGCCATTCGAGTCAACCATACCTTCACTTTGGCTTTAATTTTCTCAATTCTGTTCTCGAGTTTTGTGTTGTATTTGTAAATCTTCTGATACTCTTCGGCGGCATGTCGAAGTGGTTGTCGACGTGCATCTGAAAGTAGTTCTTATGGCCGGGGAGTGACAGATCGAAAGGCGTCGCACACACGGGACATAAGCGCTGCGAGTGTCGCTCCTCCAAGTGCTGGACCATTGGTTTCGAGTCCCTCGACATGCATGTGATGTCTTCGTTACATATAATACACGGCAATTGTGTCAACTGAATGCTGTCCACCCGTTCCGTGATGTCGGCGATGGGTGAGGCCATTGCTGTGGCGCCCAACAACTGCTCGACTACTACTGGCGCTTCCGTATCGATCACAGTCTTCACTTCAGTCTCGGCTCTGGACATCAACTCCTGGCGTTCAGACAGCGACACATCGACCGCTGCTTTTGTCTGTGATTTTGTGTCGAAGTATTTCTATTGAATGAAAAATACATTTTCAAAACATATTTCCAAATAATGCCATTCGAGTCAACCATACCTTCACTTTGGCTTTAATTTTCTCAATTCTGTTCTCGAGTTTTGTGTTGTATTTGTAAATCTTCTGATACTCTTCGGCGGCATTTGCCAAACGACTCTTCATTTCGTCGATTTGTTTCTCAAACAGTTCCTCCTTTTGTTTCCACTCGTCGGACAATGCCTTCTTCGTCACCTCTGTCTCCTCCAACTTCTTCCTCAACTCCTCCACCTCTTCATTCATGGTCTGCATCTGAACCTTAGTCTTGAGTTTAATCTTATCGAAGTCCAAGATCTCAGTCATCATTATCTCGGTTTTGCTCTGAAATGAATCGCATTTGGCTTTCGTGTCGTCCAACTCGTTGCGCAACAGCCTGTTCTCTGAGTCCAAATCTCTTCTCTCGGACATCACTTTAGCGATGGAAGCGCTGCTCAGTTCCAGTTTGGCCTCAATCATGCCTTTCGACGAACTCAACTCATCGATCAGTACTTGTTGTTCAGCCGTCTGTCCAAACGCACCACAAAGTTAGACACAAATCACAGAAACAAACACAACAATGAGTAACAATACCTTTTTGATAAGATTAAACACTTCCTGATCCCTAGTCTTCATCATCTCTGTGTTCTTAAAGTCTTTAATCTCGTAGTTCCTGACGATGTCCTGAACTCTGGTGAGCTCCGTCTGAATCATAGCAATGCGCGTCTCGTAATCGTCGCGAAGTCGTCTCATTTCGGACAACTCTTGCTGCAAGTGATCGATCCGATCGTTTTGGGCGCACAACTCGGTCTCACTGGACACCAACTTTGCCATAACCCTCTGGGTCTCCAATTGAGCCAATTTGTTGCGGTCTTCGAGTTCGACATTCAGTTTCCTTAACTCCATTACTTCGTTGCTTTTGGAGACCATTTGCTGCTGAACCGATCGCTTCGAGTACTCGAGAACTCCATTCTCGTTCACCAGTTGTTGCAGTCGCTCCTGGAGTAGAGCCTGTTGTGAGCGAACCTATTGTCCCCATAAATACATAGACTATCATTAAAATCAATCGTCAAAACCAATCACATAAAACACATTATAAAACATTTTTCAAAACAGATTTGTAGTTGAATTTCGTGTTTAACTACTCATACGAGTGAATAGAAAACATAGCGATTCAACCAATCCTTCAATTAAATCACTTTTGCAGAGATAGGAAACGCCAACATTTATATGAATTCAAAATCTTGGAGCTGGTTCTGCATCACATCCCACACACAAACACCGGGAACTACACCTACAGTACAAACGACTCGCGCANCAATTAAATCACTTTTGCAGAGATAGGAAACGCCAACATTTATATGAATTCAAAATCTTGGAGCTGGTTCTGCATCACATCCCACACACAAACACCGGGAACTACACCTACAGTACAAACGACTCGCGCACAACACTCACCACAACAAAGTCCTCTTCATCGGAGTTCCTATTGTCGGTCAACTGAATCAGGTCTTCGGCGTGCGGTCTGATGAACCGAAAGGGTGTCGACGCGCCGCATATGTCGTCGCTTAGTGTGAGATAACAAAACTGGAAGAACTCTTCGCCAGTTTTGGGCAGTTGTGAGGCGTCGAAGCGGATCTTCTTCTCGCCGAACTCGTTGTCGGTCTCGCACTCCGACAGCTTCTTGAAGACCAACCCCTGCGACGATAGGGTCCAACCGACGCGAAACAGACCGATCTTGTCGTCACCGGCGGGCACCACAGCGTCGCCGATATAGAAGCGACACTCGATGTCGGCGTCCGTGGGATACGATTCGCTGATCTCATTGAAGATCACCTTCGAGTACTTGCTTTCATTCATGTCTATCGTATGAAACGGCGATTCGCTTCTACTCCTCGAGTCGCTCGACACAGACATAGATATACAGCCGTTGGATGTCTGCAGAGATGATTCACTACTACTGGTTGCCAATTGACGATAAGCTTGAGTTTCTCTCGACTCATGCAATGCCTCGCTTTGGCTTTGCATTAATGATAAGCCAAAAGACTGTACAAAAGAAAATTCAATTCATTTATTATTACTTTCGGTTATTATCACCAAAACATTACATTCAAAATTACATAAGCCTGAAGTTCAAATTAAAAGTCTCATTCATTTACTGTATTAAACAAAACAACAATTACAGAAATATTAATAAAATTCCTGACTATATTATTAAACGTTTATCAGCTTAAGTATACAGTACTTGCAAAACAATTGCATAGAAATAGATTTAAATGCAAAATAAGATAATTGCCATTGAATTGAATTCTTATAGCATTATTCAAATCAAACACAAGTAAATAAACGTTTTGTTCATGAGTTTGCTCTGACATAGTGTAAAATAACGACTGATTGACATGCACTTTAAGTTATGATTTTACAGACTTAGCTCATTAATAGTATTTATGATTGGTTTACTATTTTATTATATTCAAGCAATTTGAGAAATATTCAATTTATAATTAATTAACAATTATTGGCAAAAGTAGACAATAAACCTGCAAAAAGCATTGAACACATATGATTATACGGTATATTATTAAATATTGAGAAACCTAATGAAAATGAGTTAAACACGCATTCAATGCCATAAACACCGGACAGGTAGGCATACTGTATGACTGGTTTGCATGAAAATAAACAATTTCTAAACCGGTTTGAAATCGCAGAAAGTCATCAAACAATTTGAGTCACAAGTCTCTCGCAATCACTTTATAACACAAATACTGTACAAAACCAATGCTAACCATAGGCTCTAAATTCATAAACCTTTAGGCAAGGGATGGAGGGGTCAGGCCGTTATGGGTCACACTTTTTAAGCACAATTACTAATTGAAAACAAAGGCAAACACATTATCTACACTTTCAATCAATGGACACACAAAGCAATGGAGCAAATATTTGGGGTAAAAACATCTGATACTTCAACTGTCGATGTCTTTGAGACACAAAAAATACGGACAAAACTTTTGCTAACAAAACATAAAAACGAGTGAATTATGGCAATCAGTGAGACATAGGAAGCACCAGAATATGAATATTATTGGCGGACCTGTTCTGCACCAGACATCGCATACAATACCATTAATTTATCTCATAATACATGCATTCAGGTGCCTATTAATACATAACAAAAACACATCAAAACATTACACAAAAGCAAAACATATGTTTCGCAAACATAGGGCTAATTCTGAATGAAAATCATATTTATTACCGGAAAATACAAATGCAAATAACGATCAATAGTTGTCTCTCTCGCTAACTACCACTCAATCGGACAAAACTGAATAATACATAAAAATAGGGCTAATTTGCGGCAAATATTCACAAAATCACAATTAATTTGTCGCTTTATAAGTGATACACAAATGCAAACACAAGCTAATGAGGAAACAAAAGGTTAGTTCAATAAACTGTTATAAGAAACAAATACATTGTATTTAATGTATAAAAGTGTTGCCAAAACTGTATTGACTTATAAGACGGGAGAAAATAAATGTGAGAAAATGTAAACTCATTTATAATTTGTTATATAAATAAATATAAAACTACACGTATATCGCACATACACTCATCGCATAGGCTTAACACTTGACACACAAAAACCTGGATAACATTTTGCCAGTGTTTATGATAGGAACAGATATAGTCTATATTATAAGAGTTTACTTACAAAAATAGCTATCAATTCAAACACAAGACTTGCAATCAAACAGTTTTACACAGACTTTGAATCCTACGATAAAATGAAAATACAGTAAAACATACAACAAATCAATTGGTGATAATTATAGTCAACATTTGATGGACACATATGCAGTCAATACACATCTCAAGCAAATAATACAAACAAATATAATTGTCATTCAAATGCAAACACTACTTACATATCAATGAAATTGAGTTTAAAATCAATTAAATTGTATTAAAAATGCAATCAATTGTCGGCAAAAGTATAGCACAGAAATACATATGATTCACAAATATGTGATACAAATGGCGTTCAATGGCAGCAATACATGTGTATTGAACGCTATGTTATGTATTGAATACAAACTCGCATACAATGTATTGATGAATGAAATGTTGATGACATGAAAACAAATGAATGTCTCAAACAATTACCTTATATTGAATGCACTGTTAATTGCAATCGGCGTTCAAAACAGCGGTGAAGTGTTCAATACTAAACTGTGTTTACAATTGCAGTGCAATCGAGAAATCGCTTTCAAAACACAGCAATCAATGTCTGGCAATGAATCACATGAACCGCACGTCTATTACGTCCGACAATGCAATCGGGTTTCCAATGCTTTCTCAACGCATTGTTTACATTGAGTTTGGGTTACCTCTAGTCATACTCTATGGGCAACTCATTTGGGTATTTCTGGTTAACATCCACTGAACCCAATGCTTGAATGCATTGAATGAATGCACCGTTAGTTCACTGTTAGGCCCAAACACTTGGAGAACCCGTTTCTATGAGGAAATTATCTCATATTTTGTATTAAATACCTTTATATCTACTATTATTTAATAACAACCAATTAAATACCACATTCATATCATAACAAATGCCATAAAACCAGTTAACAACTATTACCCCGTTTATAATTACAATTACTTGAGTTTAGTTGAGCTAAAATAACTGGAGTACCCATAGGCGCTATGATTGGCATATAGACTATTATGCAGAATATTCTGTAACTTCATTATTCCCTATAAATCCCTATTATAAGCGTTAGATATGATTATATAAATTAGTTTAAATAGTTATCAAAGTTTTGAATGACAAACAAATATTAATTTATTTGAAATGTTTTGTTATTATTTAATGTTTGGGTTAGAAGTGAAGGACGTCTCGATTGCATAGGAATAAGGAATTATAAATAGATATTAAATATTCTTTCATTTGATAAGCACTTATTTATAGCAAACATTTATAGCAATAAAATGAATATTCTGTTATCAGATAGACTTCAGTGTCTGGAGTCGAGACATTGAATGCATTTCCTGTCAACAGGTTTTTGGATTGAAAATTAATTAAAATATAAATCAATCATTTAATTAAAGGCTTACTGATTGTGTTGTTGATTGAGATTTACAGACATTTCCATTACATACAAGTAATACATACCCTTTGGTTGTGAAACCAATACACGAATAGTGGAGTGGATTGACGGCCGACTCTTTGGCGAACTAATTGGGACCGACTGTCCACTCGTGGCATATGTCTTAGGGAACGGAATATTTGTTTCCAAATGAACCAAGGGTATTCAGTTTACATACATGCAAGTAATTTATAGTTTTATAAAATAAAAATTA